GGGTCATAATTCATCCTACTGCAGCCTGTATCCCACAGTGAGGAGAAGTGGAACAGAATTCCCATCAGCCCAACACGGGCGTGTGATGTGAGTCCTATATAAGTCGTATTTCTACAAGCCACTAGGCTTTGGGAGGTTGTTTTTGATGTTGTTACCACAGAATAACTTGGTACATACAGACCAAGAATGGCATAATTTAATATTTTTGTACAAGTTTACTTTTAAATGGCTGTATCTTTTTAAAGATTTCCATATAAACAGCATTATAGCTAATTTAATGACTATCCTATTGGATTTGGCATTAAGTTTAATATTTTCACGAATACCCTAAAAGATAAACCATTGAGTGCATCTCTGATTACCCTTTTGTGGAAAATGTCTAATAACTTCCTGGATCCAAGAGTATATATACATCTAAGGATGTTTCATCTAAGGGGAAAGGACTTCCAGACATGATTATGTCCATTGACCTCTCAAGAGGAGCATTTGGGCAGAACCATTGATCTTAAACCCCTCTCAGGGAAGGCTTTGGAAACAGAAAGGCAAATAGCCTATAAAAGTTTTCACTAGTTCAATAAGATAAACTTGGGATGTTGAAATAACCAGTGCTATGTGAAGTTTCCCAGTTGTTTTAGGGTTATACTAAATGAAGCAGAGGTCGTATTTCAAGGCTCTTTCTACATACACCTACCCCGATACATTTCCTGTATATAGAAAAATAAAGCGTCAGGACCAGGTGGGGTAAAGGGTGAGTACAAAAAAGCCCTCGGTGAGGTTTGAAGATGAAAGCAGAGAGAATTAACATGTATTCATCATATTCTACGAGAAGGCTCCATGTTGCAAACCGTTACCTGTGTTTCCAGTAACTGCTCTTCTTTTCCCAGCCCCTGTGTAACTTTTGAATGCCTTCCACTTTTGTTTGCTGAACTGGTTCTGTGTTCGGAGGGAGGGAACTGTGTCTGGCCAATGAAGCGGTGACTTTCCCACTACCCTATCCATCACTGGGGTGGAGTAACTGACAAAGCACAGTGACTCAGCCCCTGCCCCAGCAGGAGCTAACCACATCATCTGCCCGGGCGCCTGATTTTCACTTTCCACGGCTGAGAAAATCCAAGAGCCCCAGGAAGACAGATGTCAAAGGAACATGCTGCCAGGCAGAGACAGCAGTACTTTTGTCATAGATCGACTATGTCTACATCTCTCTGCCCCCACCCCCATCCCTTTCACACTTTTCAGTGTTGTTCAGAACTGTCATTTCAGGCTTTGTCTGTTTGATACCCTGTCCCCTTTGTCAGACCCAAGGATCCATTTGGAGGCAATGGTGGTGGCCATCTGTGCTGCTAGAATGAGGCTCTTTTTTCATCAGTTACCTGTCTTTCCCATTCCAGAGATTCTTGGCTTAAGGGAGGCAGGTGCCTCACTCTTCTGGGCATATTGCCACCAGCTGGGTAGGTTTTAAAGCTTGGGCCAGGCTTTCAGGTAGGAGGATCTACAGGGGATTATGTTTTCTTGGAATTTTTTCCTCTATCCCCGGAGCACTGAAATTTTAACTTGGCTGTCCCCATTGGCTTGCTCTTGTGAACCCTCTACTTTAAGGGATTTACTCTTATCCTAAATGTCAGGCCAGCCAAAGCAAATGAGATTCAGCTTCATCTGAACAATAGGGAATGATGAATGGGCTGCTCTCCATTTCCTGGGGAAAACAAAATAGAAATCCATACTGAGGAGTGGAATTAGGATTTAGCACAGCGTTTTTCAGGTTTCGGAATACTCTTAACATGTACTTAGGCCTGTAGACATAGCCTCAATTTGGTGTGTGCCACTCACACTCTTTTAGGTTGTCTTGGGTCACACATGCTTTTGCTTTAAGTAAATAACAAGCTTGGAAAACCAAAGTCCTTCACCTTTGGACCAAATATAGGGGGGCCTGCTTTATAAAAATGTCCCACCTGGGAAAAGGAACCTCATATACCCAGAAATGACATGAGTGCGGCAGTTTTCTACCATGGCTTAATTTTCTCTTTGAAAATATTGGCAAAGATTAGTACAATTAGTGGTAAGACTGGGATGTTTTAACATCTCAAAACTATTTGGTGGCTAGAAGCACAGCATGAAAGTAGCCTTTGCAGGCCAAATACAAAAATCCTAGTTGAAACTTGGGCTCATAACTTGTCCCTTTCTCATGAGTGATCTTAATAAGTCACTCAAACTGCCTCTCTCTTTATTTGTCCTTAAACCAGGGGAAAGTAATATTTCTCTTCTCCCTAGCTCATGGCAAAATCATAAGCATAAAAGTAATTAATGGGTATGAAGATCTTAGAAGCATTGCAGTATCATAAAAATGAAAAAACCTGTGATATGGTAATAAATCTTCATTGATCTAGACAATTTTAATTTAGAATTTGATGCAGTACAGAAAGACACACTACTGAAGTTTACATTTGTACTATATGCGGAGAAGTAGTTTGCTAAGTAAATTGAAAGGATAAACAAATTTTAGAAGCACGTATATGCCAAATACATGTAATTAAAAGCTCATGAGTAATTATTTAAAATACGAGGTAGGAGATCTTCAAATTAATCCTCTACTGGCACAACCATACCTTAAAAAGATAATAATTTATATTCAATAAATTCAATAAGATATCATATTAGTCTTAGATATATGTTAGGGTTTTTAAATCCCTTTTCCCCATCTCCATTTTAGAACTTGGCTATAGTATAACCTTACAGTTATATTTTTGTTTTTCATTGAAGGGCAGAGGAATCTTGGGTCACATTTTAATGAAGGATGGATACCTTTAAACATGCAATGACTGTTGTTGCAAAACATGTGATGATAATAGAGAAAAAAGAGTATTTAATTCCCACAGGTGACATTTGAGTTGAGCTTTATAAATGAGTGAAATTTTAGTAGCAGTGATGGGAAAAGAACAGTTTTGTGGGAAAACATGAAAAGAAAGCTCGCAAGAGCCTGTTGTTTTCAGAAACTGCCAGACAGTTCAACCTTGTAGTATAGTATGATAACAAAAATAAAGAAAGAAAGAATAAAAGACAACTTTGAAAAACACACAGCATGACACTGATTTGTCTTTCAGTGCCATGTTGTGGAGTTTAAAATTTATTCCGAAGAGATCAAGAAAATTTGGATCTATTTAAGAAAAAGTATCTTATAATAAGACTTGCGATTTTGGAAAAGCTTCAGGTGAGACTTGAGAATAGTCTCAAACAGAGATTTGGAGTTAGGGTTAGGTGCGGGAAAGCAGCAAAGGAATCTGTGGCACACTCAGCTGATCAATTTTTGAGGTTAGATTAAAGAAACCCTAATATGAAGCCATTCATCAAAATAATGACATGGGGCCTAGTGGCTCACACCTGTAATCCCAACACTTTGAGAGGCTGAGGGGAGAGGATCACTTGAGCTCATGAGTTTGAGGCCAGCCTGGGAAACCAGCTGAGACCCTGTCTTTACAAAATAAAAACAAAAATTAGCTAGGTGTGGTGGCATGCACCTGTTGTCCCAGCTACTTAAAAGGATGAGGCAGAGAATCACTTGAGCCCAGGAGGCTGAGGTGGCAGTGAGCCCTGTTCGTGCCATGGCACTGCAGCCTGGGTAACAGAGTGAGACTCCGTCTTAAATAATAATAATAATATCTAAATTTTTTATTTCCTGTAATATGAAACTGATAATTGAGACTATATCTGTATATATGTAAACAGAGAATATATCTGTATAGATTTATAATGATAATTATATATAATAATTGAGAATATATAGATATAAACAGAGAATTTATCTGTATAGATTTTTTATTTACTCTATGTAACTGAGAAATAATTGAGAATATGTCTGTATAGAGCTAAAAATGTCGCTTGTGGTCAGTAAAATGAAGAATATTGTTTAAGAAGTATAGAGAATCACAGGAATAAGGGCTGAGAACACACCAAAAAGGCTGGTTAACAAGTGGGAGGCAAAGAGGAAGAGTCAGTGAAAGGATCCAGGAAAAAAGTCTCTAGGGGGAATTAAAAGCACGGGGTGTCTGGAATGTTACTGACACCAAGGGAAAAAACGCCTTTAGGAAAAAAGAAATAGTTTTTGTTTTCGAAGCTGTAGATACCACAGAGTCTGAATCCAATGAGGCTTAGGCCATTTGTATTTGATAAACATAAAAACATTTATGACCTTTGAAAGCAGTTTCAGGGGAGACAAAGAAAGGACAAAACGGATGGCATGGAGCAGAGAAAATAGTACAGGAATGCATGATAAGCACTGTGGAGAGCATGCATTTTCCTCTTAAAACCAAGTTTAGACAATGGAAGATATTTTGTACCAAGGACAAAGAAGGAAAATCAGAGAGGGGAGAACTAAAGACTGAAGAGAGTAAGAGATCAAAGATGGTTCATAAAGACAAGTCCTTCAGAAAGGAAGAGCAGAGGGTTTCATGTGCTCAGGTGCATGTGTGGATCTTGGAAAGAAAAATTGCTTTGAATTTCTTGGTGTTAGAAAAAATACATTGGTACTAAAACTATTGAGTTTTGAAGTAATGACCAAGGAAATTGGAGGAATTCTCATCAGTTGTACTTGTTTTCTTTCTTTAAAATGAGAGCTAATTGGTGGGAAGGGATGCAGAGAGGGTAGACTGGGCAACCAGGATGATTAAAAAATACTCAGACAGTGGAATGGGCAAGGGGATTAACTGGGGATTTAAAGAAATAGCGACAAGTAGCATTTAGCGCACAGCTGACGTGGAATCATGTGATGTCATTGTACTTTATTATCTATGCTGATTTTTTTAAAAGTAAGACATGTTCAGCATGAACATATGGAAAAGATTATGATACAAAGGGGAAATGTGTTAACCATAATACTACCAACTAAACATAAATGATCTTATATCTTAACGTACTGATTTATCTGTTATCCATCAATTTGTATACATGAGTGAGTGTATACTAATATGCTAATGGTTTTTTTAAATTTATATAAAAGTGATCTTATATTAGTGAGTGTCCTGGCAGGGAGAAAATGATGTGCTCATATGTGGTTATTGAGGAGAGTTTAAGAAAGTGTCCATTTATAACCATACTGGTAGAGTAACCAAGAAAAACTGGTCAATTATCCTAGGGCTAGTCACAGGTTGCGATGAGTGGGAGGCCTTAGGTAGTAGTGTAGAGCTTTCAAGAAACTTGTAAGACCCATGCTTTAGAGAAGGTCATTTAGTAGAAGCCTTGGCCACTGGTAGTGATGCAGCCACTGCTGACCTATGCTTCTGGGAAGAAGAGCTGAGGATATAAGTATTCTAAGCGATTTCTCCTCCTACCTTCTCATCTCCTGCTGATGCCCCATATTGGCTGACTCGAAAGAGAATTGAGAGGACAAGTGATCCTGGATGATGCAGTCCATGGAGGTTGTCTCTGGCAGGGCAGAGCTGGGTGGAGCAGATCTGGAGGGGACACAACAGAGAGGCAACAAATGCCCATGATTTTTAGGATTGGGATTTAGCATCCCTGAAGCAGAACCAAACAGCGGATGGTTGAAAATTGACCTCATGTCTTAAATCAGAAAATAAGGCAGATTTTTTTTTTTTAAGTCTAAGACAAGAAAATCTAGGGCACTCAGAGATGAGCTTGAATAATTTAGATCATAGATCACCATTGTTCAAGAGACAAGTGTTCAATAAGACCAGCAACTTTTTTTTTCTCATTGTCGTTAAGCGTAGGGAGTTGCAGTAGCCTGCTGGATCTAGGGGCTCCTTCCTGGAAAATTTCCAGGATTATTTGGAAGCAAAAATAAAGGCAACTCTGATTTGAAGTCATTAAAATATCCTAGATTAAACAGAAGTAAGACCCTGAGTATTGCTATAGATGTACTTTTTTTCATATTTTTACTTTTCTGAATCAAAATAGGTCTTTTAATAAAAACAAAATAGGTCTTATAATATAATAAAAATAAAAATGTTTTTTTCTTTTCCAAAATTAGTTTTTATATTTGTATTTCCTCTTACAATCAAAGACACTTTACCATGTAGGAAGTAAGGTGTGGTGAGAATTTATAAAAAAGACAAACCTCAAATTCTGAGGTTGACATCATAATTACTAAAACAAACTTTCAAAATGCATCTGAATATTCTTTCGGCAGGTGCTTATTGATGTAAATTGAATGGAAGACGAAGCAAGCACATTGCCATTTAAATCTTAATCAAGACATAAACGTTAGTCCCGTCTTTCAGAGTTCTCAATAAAAGGGACAAAACCAAGCAAGACAAGGGGAAAAATTAAGAAGCAGTTTTGCTCAGTTTTTAATTTATCACTTGCAGCCCAAATGAGAAGATGAGGAAAGGGGATAAAGAGGAGTTCCCTTAAGCGTCACCGGGGGCATTTTTGAAACTGCATCAATTCTATCTGTACCGTCACCATCCACTGCCCTACTATCTACAGCCTAACCCCACAGGTTTCGGGAGACTCCATGCATCTATTAGAAACACAAAGCATTCTTGCTAAGGGAACTCAGTGTAAAAGGACAGTGTTGGAAATAGTCTCTATTTGGGACAGAAACCTTCCTTTGAAGTCCACTAGGAATTGTGGGGTAGATGTCATAATTCTAGTCTCCTAACCTTATCAGGTTTCCTCCTCCTATTCCAAATACTGGGAAACTGGCAGGTTTTATGGCTGCCTTACATAAATCCTGGTAGTTTATCCAGTATGATGGTTTGGTCGTAGACTTTAAGTAGCTTTAGAAGATACCTGTGCCAGTCTCTTATATCCAAAGTGTAAATGACTTACGCTTAATAAAAAATATATTCAGAATCATTGTAAACACTGCTTTATTCAAGGCTCTACGGTTACAGAGATAAAATATGCAGTGTTTCCCTACCAAAGAATTTACATTCTGTTATTAGAAGCAGTTATGTAAATAAATAAATGTCACACAGTGTACCACATGCTGTAGTTCCAGCAGAGTTCAAAGTACTCTAGGAGAGAAAAAAGCAGGAAAGGTCTGACTTTAGGAAGAAGTCAGCAGCAGCTTCTTCAATGAGATGACATAAATTGAGTCCTAAGGAACTTCAGTGAAGTAGGATTTTTAGTCTCTAAGTCTAAGTATATATTAGATTTTCTTGTTTCTCTTGTACAATGGTAAAAATTCTTATTCAGAGTTTTTTTTGAAAAAAAAAATCAGAAAATTACTCTAAAAGCATTTTCATATAAATAATTGCATAATATGTTTTTATTTGTATTTAAGCCACTTTAATATAAATAACCTAGACACAGGCCCACTAATAACAGAGAATGGAAACATCTTGAAAAGCATTGCAATTTTATGTATTATATTTAACACCCCTGAATTGGAAATTTATGTGCAAAAGTATTATATTAGGACTTGTGAATGTATATACAGGCACAGAGATTGTGAATCCTGTGTGCTTTACATGTGAGTAAGGGAGACATACACACCCAGGAATAAAATCTGTATCCAGAGTAGTCTGAGAGGATACTTACATGTAGGCACAGAAGAACTACAATCTGGTAAGGAGAAGGAAGTGAATGCTACGAAGGAGAACGTAAACGTTTCTTGGAGGGAGTGAAGATTTCTTTTCACATTCACATTGAATTGTTTTCTCAAACATAGTGTAAATGGTTCTCATCTGCATGTGTCCAGGATCAACTGTGAAAGACCACACATTTATCAATGGATTATACATGGCAATGTGTGCAACCTTAAGAAATGCAAGGATGCCATGGTCCCACGCTGGGATCAATATGGCCTTGACCTCGATGAACCATGGAATCTGGCTACACTAGGGTGCCAAGTCACACAGATAGGCCACAGCCATTAGGAGTGAGGAGAAACCCAGGTCTTTATGAAGTATGCATAATTTGCAAATTATTTTATCTACTCTAAAACTTCTACTAACTTATACCAGAATGAATGGGTGCAAATCTCTCAGCAGATACAATATTTTTTTTCTTGCTGGCATCAAGTGAAGAGGATGAGAGAGTATCAGATGTGATGACTGCTACTAGTTGGCTGAAATAAAGAATGCTGAGGCTTAGGTTTGTCCAAGTCTTGGGTTTCTGCCCAAACCTATTTATAAGCATTAGTAGGAAATGTAGAGGCTATGTTTCTCAGACAACTGGAATTACTAGACTAAGTATTAGCTACCATATGACACTACGAATGTCAAATCTTAACAGTATCCTCAATTGTAAAATGGATTCAGTTGGTCTGTCAATGTTCAAGGAGTAGATTAAAAATCTCTGAACACAGTGACTTTTAGAGACAGCAAGTAGAAAGTGCCATATAATCCTAAATAATCTTATTAAATTTCAAGATGCTGTGGCAAATGGTACCAGATAAATGCTTAGTACATTAGGGCCTATTTGCTTTGCATTTAACTTCAAGAAAATACAGTTTTTGAAATAATTTTGTTTTTATACACTATAGCTTCTAAAGAGCCATAAATCTTGTTTGTGTCTCTGAGGCTCAATGAAACTCTTGATTAAAATGAAATGTATCATCTGGCTTCTGTGTTGATTGTACATGAGCAAAGAAAGAGAGTAGATTCTCCAGAATGCAAAAAATATGTGAGATGTGGTTGCATTTTTCTAATGCAAAATTTTGTTGCCAGTTTTCTTAAGATATGAAAGTATTGTTTCCTATAAAAACTCAGTAGGGTAGCCTTCTAGTGTCTGGAATGGAAAAACACAATTAGAAAAGGCAGAGTTATAAAAATAAATATGCAATTATATTCACCAAATCTGTTAGCAAATATTGTCCACTGGACCTAGTTTACCACTGTGGAGACAATGAAGCTGTGTTTAACTGCAAGACACCCATGTGTCTAATAAAGAAGAGAGATGATGGATTTCCTTTGGATACTTTTTTGAAATAAGTAGTGAGTGTAGTTGCCACAAATGGTAGTTGTCATGGAATGCCACCTGTAACTACAGTGAGTAAATGAGAAATGAGTCTTTGCTATATTTAGCCATTGAAGTATAGGGGCTTTTTGTTTCTATAGCATAGTTCTGCCTATAGTGACCAATACATCACCACTAAACTAATTTTTTCTTTTCATTAGAAGATGAAATCAACAGATTTTAATTGCTTACATTAGGCATGCAATTATTTTCTTGTCCCCTTCAAAATTTAAACGAGGAAAGAAAAGATGAATGTTCCCCAAATTTTCCGATTCATTTTCTCTCGTTTTTGGAAATGATGCTTGCTTGCTTATTCATGGTTCTATAGAGAGGTCCCCAATACCTCCTTAAAACCCAAGTTTCACATAGTGGCTTCCTGGACAGAACTGTAGGGACTGCTGGGAAACTCTGCCATTCACCTCCATTCTCAAGGACCTTGTAGACACTAAAGAATGCCACCTTCAGGTAGAGAGAGGAATAGCATGAACAGGGCCATTGTCACAGGGGTGTCACCTGTACAAAAACACAGGGTCCACCTAGAAGAGGCCCTTGAATGCCTAAATGCTCTGCTTTCACCATTTTGAAATCCTCGCTAATTTGCAAACAAGAGGATGTGCATTTTCAGTCTGCACTAGGACCTGAAAATGATGTAGCTGGCCCTGATTTAGGGCAATAGTTTGCAATCATCGGCACTGCATTTTCTATGGCATACAGGACACGTTAACATCTTTGACAGATCTCTGTCTCTGTTTCCAGAGATGTTGGCTGCATTTTGATATAAGGGAGCAAATTATCATCTGCTATGAAGAGGGTAGAGAACGTGAGGTTCATAGATCCTGTAGAGGCTCACTTCATCACTGGTAGTTCCAGCCTCAAGGGGAAAGAAGGGACTAATATCCACCTTGCATTTGGAAGTGCCAAGGCCTAGAAATACAGATACAAATAGACTTCAGGGACCCCACAATATGGGATTTCTTTAAGTTTTACCATTAGTGAGTACAGTATCCCTCCCACCTGGGCTCCATAGCATGTCAAGCTGCCAACTCAGGAACCTCATATTGGAGCCCACCAATAAGTAGTGGAGCCAGTATGAAATATGCACAGTGAATTGATAATCATTGTCAACAAGAAACGAAGTTACTACAAGCCTTACTTTTACTAGACCAAGTGCATTTAAAATGGTTTGTTGTTTTCAACTCCATGTGAGTTTCTGCTAACTGTGTAGCCTCAAACTCACATGTTCAATGCATTAGATAGGTCCATCTGTTAAATAAAAGAAGATCTATCCAGGTTGCCACGAGACATTAAGTTTCATTCTGAATCCTACTCACATAGAGCTCTCTACATCAGATTTATCTCTACTCCTCCCCTTCCCACTCTCCCTCTATCCTTACCCAAAATGTTTTGCATTTCATCTAAATATTTTGTCTCTCCCAATAAATAATAAAAACATCAAAGGTATTAATATCTCCTGGTAGCCCACTTACTGAAGAGTGGGCATTCAGTGAATGAAACTTTCCATTGTCAACTTAGAAAACTGAGTTAATAAACAGTGAAATAAATCTATGAAAGTTTGGCAGTAAAAAAATACAACTCCGTTGCCAAGTCAACCCTGTATTTCTTTAAATATTCCATACATCTGAACCTAAGAATAAATCCTACTTGTTAAACAAAGTGCACTTAATAACTTTAAGGAGAGAGAGGGGTAAATATTTTAGACAACGGAACAAAGGGTGGCCATCTGCCCATTAGTAGTTACTAAGCAAAAGACGAAGGAAGGAAGAGCTGAACAAACATGACTGTTTTCACTGGGCAGCTACAACTAATAATAGTGATGAATATTCTATAGTATACCACGCAACAGAAGCATTGTTAAGTGTTTTCCGCATATTATCTCAATAATCTTCAGAGCAATCCTAAGAACAAGGCAATATAATTATCCTATGAGGAAACCGATATACAGAGAGGCTCAGTAATCTGGTTATTGGTAGAAATAAGATTTAAAACTGGTTATTGGTAGAAACAGGTTTTAAAACTAAGCAGTTTTCTTCAGTTTGTTATCTTAACCACTGGGCAACGCTATCTGGGTGGATTTTGTTGTTGTCAAACTATTCCCTGTCCTTTCCTACCAGGTCCATTCCTGTAACATCATCGTATGTCTCTCCTCACTGAAGCCACACTGGCCACATGGCTTGCTTTGGAATGGGAGGGATATGTGACACACCATCATATTGTTTCTAAAACTGCATTTTTCTTCTTCTTAAATACAAGCAGTGCCTTAAAGAAAAACTGTATCTTCATCAAGATTGGGTCCCAGAATAAAATTCAAAGCTAACTTATGATAAACTTCTAATGTTAGAAAACAAAATATTTAAAAAAAAAAAGAAAACAAAATGTTTCTTTGTTTTAAGGTACTGAAATGTAGAGGATATTTATTATGATACCATAACTTAAGTAATGCACTGCATGTTTTAACTGCATAAATTTTTACAAGATTTGCTAAAATTTTACTACATTTCACTGCATAAAATCAATGGACAATTCTATGTTCTGTGTGTTATATCCAGTCTGTAGAAATATTATTTAATGCATAGAGATTAACACGGAGTCCTCGGAAGGGGAAAACAGATGGTATAATATGAAGAAGAGTGGACCAGAAGTCATAAATCAAAAATCTGACTTGAATCAATTGTATAACTTTGGGCAACTCACTTAACCTCTCTAATTTTTGGTTTAGCCATCTGTAAAATGAGAATGCCTCATAAGAAAGGCCTTTTGGAAACATTTTAGCTTTAAAATTACATAAATAGCAGACACAGTGCAATGCCAATAAAAATCCCAGTAAGCTATATTGTGGAAAATAACAAACTGATTATAAAGTTTCGATCATATGGCAAAAGACCCATAATAGCCTCTATATTGAAAAAGTTAGAGAATTGACACTACCCAGCTTCAAGATTTGCTAAATACCTACAGTAATCAAGGTAGCGTGGCACTAGTAAGAGAATAGATATATGGGACAATAGTATAGAGTAGACAGTCTGGAAACAGATTCAGTGAACTATAATCAACTGATCCTTGAAAAGGAGCAAAGGCAATTCAACAGAGAAAATGTAGTCTTTAAAGTGATGCTGGGACAATTGAACATTCATATGCAAAAACACGAGTGCTAGAAAGAGAGCTGACATTTGTCACAAAAATTAACTCAAAATGAATCATAGACCTAAGAGTAAAATGCAAGATTGTGAAACTTCTGTAAGAAAACAAGAGAAAATCTAGCTGAATTTGGGTTTGGTAATGAGTTCTTAAATAGAATACCAAAAGCATGACCCAGGAAAGAAAATATTTCTAAGTTGGGGTTAATTAATTAAAAACTTCTGCCGTGAAAAATAAACTATGAAGAAAATTTTACAAGCCACAGACTAGGAGAAAATGTTTGTGGAAAAAATATCTGATAAAGGACTTGTGTCCAAAATATACAAACCACTCATAAAACTCAAAAAATAGCTGGAGTAATTAGGCAAGAAAAAGAAATAAAAGGCACCAAAATAAAAAATAAAGAATGAAAATTATCTCTGTTCACAGATAACACGACCTTATGTAGAAAGCTCTAATGCTTCACCAAAAGTAAAAACTATTGGAACAAATAAACTTTAATAAAGTCGCACTATATAAAATAAACACACAAAAATCAGTGTTTCTATATACTAACAATGAACAATGTAAAAATAAATAAACATTTAAATT